TCCTCTCAGAGGCCACTGCTTTGATTGGACCTTTTTCTGATGGCACCCGGACCATACGACCATACGACATATGTACTCTGTGCCATCGAGTCAATGTTGGCTCCCGGCCACCCTAGAGGACAGGGTCACCTGCCCCTGGGAGTCTCTGAGATGGTGACTGTTTACGAGAAGAAAGGCCATCTTTCTCCGGAGAAGTGCAACTGGTGACCTTGAAGTTAGCAGCCCACCTTGTAACCAAGACAGCCCCAGGGTCCTTCTTACAAGACGACGGCAACGTTAGGCTCTTACAGAAGGAACTTGTGGAAATCTAGTAGCGATACGTTTTCACTTCCTCGTCTAGAGTCTGTCTTTTCCACCCAGCCTGCGTCTTTGTGTCTCATCTCATTTTCTGTGTAATTGAACACCCAATCTCCATCCTATTCCCCCCAACCCGCAACCCCGGGGATTATGTGTAAAAGATGGGCCCTGGTGGGGCTGTGGGGGAAGTATTGGGCTGCTCATGGAAAGGTCAGCTGTTCTCAGCCACCCCGATGCTCTGCGGGGCAAACACGCAGCCCTCCGCTTCTATAAAGATCGACGGCCGCGGAATCCCAGTTCTACTCTGTCCTCTGGGGCTGGTACATGTGGGTACCCCAACCGCAGAGGGTGGGTGGTAGTGTTTGGGAGTGTCAGGGAACATGATCGGAGCTCTCCCAACCCCCGGAATAGATCAACAAATGCTATTCCGCAGGAAATTTCAGCATGCAACACAAGACAAAAGTCTGAATATCTGAAGGCCCCAATAAAGTGTGTAAGAGAGGTGCTGATAGGATATTCTAAACGATTATTTTTGGTGGGGAGGGAGGTAGGAGCCAGTCTCTGAATGGGTCTTGCCAAGACGGGCAGCATTTGGATGAGCAGGCAGTGTGAGGCCGAGGATTCTTGGATGGAGAAAGACAACAGTGATAGCAGTAAGAAGGGATCAGGAGTCTGAGCCGTGACAAGAGGGGGGACTCAGCTCCAAGACGGAGCACGGAAGCTGCCACAGTGGGCCTTAGAACCCGGACAAGGCGATGAGCCCTGTGGTTCTGGGCAAATTAAGGTGATTAAGTAATGGAATGGCAATTTTTTTAAAATTCAGAATTGTTAATAAAGATCATCCAGGTTTCAGTACACGCCTGGGGAGTTTTCTGTGTGGGAAAATCAAGAGTTCTGCTCCAGGGCCTTTGTTGGTGATGATGTTGTTAGGGCCCTGAAGTCGGTTCTGGCTCACGTACGACAGAACAAGACACTGTCTGGTCCGGCACCAGCCTCCCTCACAAGAGTTGTCACGTTTGGACTCATTGTTGCAGCCGCTGTGTCAATCCATCTCGATGAGGGTCTTCTTTATCACAGACCCGCTACCTTACCCAACATGATGCCCTTTGGGATTGGTCCCTCCTGCTAACATGTCCAAAGTACGTAAAATAAAGTCTCACCACCCTGGCTTCTTTATTTCCTGTCTTTTCAATGACCTGTTGCTTTCTTTGCGTACGATCTCGTTGGTATCCCACAACGTATTGGGTCTTTGGTCATTAGCGGTCAAGGTGACAAGTCTGCCAAGTTCTCGAAACTCGGGTGGGATATGCTCAAGGCTGTGCTTTGGCTCTCCTAGACTTGTGTTAAGGGCTTATCAGAGGATCTTGCTTTGTTTTGTCATGTGCATTAGGGTTCTTTGCTCACTGCCTGCCAGCATCTATTAAGATCAGGTTGCCATAGAACTAAGTTCCCTATCGGTGAGCTCGACTACAACTTCCAAAAGAAGTTTTCCTTTAGCTTTGTGCAACCACAGAGAGTCGTGTGTCACGGAGACATCCAAGTTCAGAGAAGGTATAGATCCACCCCCTCTGAGCCGCAAGCCTGAAATCAGAAATAGTCTGAAACCCAAGTCTCGATGGCAGCCTGTTCCCCTCGGCTCCTGTGGGTAGTGCAGACTCCGAGTGATACTTGCTTCATATTTCTCATCGAACATCTGAAAACCAGAACGCTGCAGCCCGCAAAGTCCTCAGAGGCTCCAGAGATCGGCTGCTGGTTGTGGTTGGAGAAGATCCGTTCACAAACTAATGATGCAGGGTGTTCATATACGTTTTGGGTCCATGCGAACTAAATCCTCTTTAGGACAGAAATCATGGACACCCTGAATGAAATAATTAGCAGGCAATTCTTTGTTTCATTTTTCCCTTTCCCTTAAACAAACTTAGACAGGACCATTGGCAGCCCCCCACCCCCACTGGCACCCCAAGAAAGCCTGACGGGCCAGCATAAACTCACAGTGGTGTTACAGAACTGCTTACCAGATCACACCTGGGCACGCTGGCCACAAACTGGGCCCCTTGGCAGCCAAGGATAAATCCGGCGAGGTTGAGGAGGACACAGACCACAGAGAGCAACACAAAGAGGTTGACCTGAAACGGCAGGGGGAGAACGCATAGTTAGAAAAAGATGGCAGTGAATTTCAGAGGCGATTTTGACTCGGGGGGCAGAGGACAAGAGAATCTCATCATCCCTTCCTAGAGGAAATCTCTTTTGTTTTGAAACCAGAGGTATGTGTTGGAACACACAACCTTTCCCGACCCCCAGCGCAGGCATTTCAGACTATTTTAAGTGCCGAGGAAAGCCGTGGACTCTCAAGTCTTCTCAAGAATTTCAAGTCCCTGTTTACCCCTCTTGGCAACCAGACGTTTCTCCCCTGCCTCTTTCCCCAGTGCCGCACTGAAGTCTGGCTACTTCCTCCTGGGGTCATTCTTTTGCTGAGCTCTGGTCAGTCGACGGTCCATAGATAAAGTGGGTCACCCTCGGAGCTTAGAGGAGCCCGGGGAACTCAAGCAGTTCGGAGCCATCAGTAGCCAGGGGGCAGTAGACTTGGCTAACACAATGCAAAAGGAGCAAGTCGCCACCAAGATTCACCCAGGACCTCAAGCAGCGAATGAGCTGGAACCAGCCTGAAAGTAAAGCTTGGCAGCTTGTTGGCGTAGTGGTTAAGCGTTGGGTTGCAATCCACAAGGCCGGTAGTTGGAAACCACTGGCCACTCGGTGGGAGAAGAAGAGGGCTTTCTATTCCTGTGAACAGTTACAGTCTTGGAAACTCAGAGGGGAAGTTGCATCCTGCTCTAGTGGGCGGATATAAGTCAGCATCGACCCGATGGCAGTGAGAGGAGATTATACTGACTACATCCCGTGGGATGGGTTATGCTAGTTACCACCAACTCAGCTCCCATGCACGGCAGCCCCACGCCCAATAAGGCCAGTCCTCTGCCATCCTCATCAGCGTTGGGAAACGCTAGTCTATTGCAGCCTTTGTCTATTTTGAGTGCCTTCCAACCTACCTACTGCCATGGAGTTGATTCTGCCTCTTACTGACTCTACACAGCACGGTAGGATTTCCTCTGTGGGTTTCCGAAGCTGGAAATCTTTACCAAGGCAGAAAGTCTCATCTTTCTCCCAGGGAGTAACTGGTAGAGTTGAACTGTTGACCTTTGGGTTACCAACTCAGCACACAACCCACATATCACCAGGGTTCCTTGCCTTGCACCATGGAAGGGTCATCTGCCAGCACTAGACTAGACAATGTTCTATTGTGACCCATTGGGTTTTCATTAGCTAATTTTCAAAAATTGTTGGTCAGTCCTTTCTTCCTCACCTGCACTCATCTTCAATCTCTGCTAACACCTGCTCACATAAATACAAGCCATAGTGGGCCTTATTCTCGTTGGGGTTCACTGAGATCAAATGTACCCCACAGAAAGCATGGGCGGGAAGAGCTAGTGATATATTTTTTAAAGGGATGCTTGGAATGTTCAATTGTCTTTAAGTCCACTGTAGTTGACGCACCCCAAATTTAGGTACTTTCTTAAGAACTTAAATCCATAGCATTAGACACATTTTCAGGTATTTGAATTGGTTAAAAATCAAGTCAACTGGGAAATAACTATCAACAGAGAGTCCCTGAGCATATAACACAAGTGCATGAGAAATATTTTCTCATTAGTGTCCTATCACTAGGCGCTGGGGGTGAAAAAGATACTCAAAGTAATGAAAGTAGCCCTGGCGGTGCCATGGTCCAGAGCTCAACTGCAAGGTCAATGTTCCTCACCTAAAGATCCACGGCTCTAGGCCACCAGCCGCACCATGGGAGAAGGGTGCGGTGGTCAGCTCCCACTATGATTGTAAACACTATGGGGTAGTGCTACTCAATCCTTTATGAGTTGGCATGGGCTCAGTGGCATTGGGTTTTAAAGTCACAAAGCCCATTTGTCAAGTTAATTTCCTGGTTCCTTTCTGCAGGTCCTGGCTGGCTGTGTACCTAAATAAAAGCTGTAGCTCCTCCCAAGGTGGGTCGTGTGCATGTGGCTGACCCCCAGATACTTCCCCTTCTGGCTCAGGCTCAGGCTCGGTGGGGGACACAACTCTATTGTTTCCCCTCAATAACTTTGTGACCCATCCCTGCACGAGGTTCCCAACAAATGCTCCTAATGTTATCAGGCCATCTATTTCCTGCTGTGCAAATGGGAAAGACCTTTAACTGCTAACCAAAAGGTGGTAAGTTTAAGTCTCCCCAGAGGCACCTCAGAAGAAAGGCCTGGTAAGCTGGTGTTTCTGGTTAGGACATTCATTGACTTCTCCACAAAACGTATTTAGCCAAACCCAGGACTGTTTGTGCTCACTTTGAATGACTGATCACCTCCCTGCCCAGGGACAAGAACACCATGGACTATAGTTGCAGGAGGATATGGAAGCTGGCCACCATTGGGATTCCCCCTTGGGAAACGGAAGAGCTAACAGCATACAGAGACATGTTTTCTAGAACTTCTAGGACCTGTACCCTGACAGGTGAGCTGCACCTACCAGGAGCAAGTCCTCTCTCGGGACGGGCAGCATGAGGGAAAAACTCTACGTTTTGAATCATGTTTTGTCACTAACTTGAATCATGAGTGTTTTGTGTGGATGTTAATGGGTAGCCTTGTGCACAAGGTTGTTGTGTTTATTCCAGGGAGGGTGCAGAATTAACCAGAACTCTGATCTCTTGCCATTGTGCCCCCGCCAGTTTGCTCCTGATTGCAGTGAAGAGACTCCACAGGAGAATGGCTGGTCGATGGGGAAGCAGAGGTCCCTTCCATGTGCCTGTTCGGAGTCCCTCCTAATGCCTGTCACACAAACCATTAAATAATTATGGTGATCGCAGCCTGGCGTTGTTGAGCATCTTTTTGACGTAATATTTCAGTCTGTAAATAGGTTGACCTTTCCCTCCTGCCTGGGGACTTTGCTCCTTCACTTCCTAACTGTGTCAAGCCCAAGAGACACCTTAATTCAGCAGTGGACGTGTAAATAAATCAATCGCCCCAGTGGTGGTGGGCAGACCAGAGATGTTAAATGGCTATGCCTTTTAATGGTAGGTGAAACAGAAGCATTTACCTCTACTAGTTCTACAAAACCCTCTGAAATAAGAGCAAAGAAAATGTTCAGATGCAGAAATCCCTAAGGATGAGGAAGGAAGAGGAAGAGCAAAAAGACTTGGGAAGCCAGAAGGCAGCAAGACAGTGGTGTGGAGGGGAGCCGAAGCCCAGGAGGAGGCACCCCTGAGGACCCTCCGGGGGTCCAGCAACGAGAGGCTCCAGATACCAACCCAACCCACTGCCCTCAAAGCATTTGGAGGCTAAACCTGGAAGAATAGACGGGGAGTCTACTCAGAAGCCATTAGAAAACAGTGCCAGCCCAGTGGGAAACCATGGACAATCTCGAATAAAATCAGTGGATTCCAAACGGTTTTAAATTTTACATGCAAGTGTTTTGGTTTTTCTTTTTTAATGCTTTCCTCGTGTACCTTTTCCTAAGGAAGTTACTAGAGTATGCGCAACACCAAAATGAGAATAAAAACTAAGAAGAAAATAAGCCGTAGAATCCAGGGAACAGAGAATTCAACTCAAGAGAATTCCCAAAATAGCGGTGGAAAGAAATGCCCAGATGTAGAGCCTGCTTACGGACTTTCTAGCAAAATACTACAGTGGCACACAAAATAAAAGCCATTACCCATAAGATCAGTGCCCTACTTATGATATCACATATCGGCAGCCCCGGTGGTAGCGTAGTGGATTACACATTGAGCTGCGAACCAAAAGGTCAGCAGTTTGAATCCACCAGCTGCTCCGCAAGAAAAAGATGAGGGGGCAGCCAATCCAGACTGCAGCAAGTCAAAAGGCCCCAGAAGACTGGCTTCCAAGAAGGTCAAATGAGTAGAATGCCCACTGCACTTTAGCGTACCCCAAAAAGACATTCGATGAAAGGAGAGTGGAAAGTTGAATTAATGATACAAAACAAATGGGGCGGAAAAGACCATTGTTCGCTTGAGGAATAAAATGTTTGACGGGACAGAAAAAAAATCATGAGAAGTTAAATAAATAAAGTAAGCTTTTTGGATGAGTAATTTGTCTTGGTTAAACACAATTAGCTCTACTAGCTCTAGCGGATCACCTGCTGGGCTGCTAACCGCAAGGTGAGTCGTCTGAAGGACTGACTACTCCATGGAAGGAAGACGAAGTGTTTTAGTCCCCTAAAGAGTGATGGTCTTGGAAGCCCACAGGACCAGGGCTACCCTGTCCTTTGGGCTTTCGATGAGTCAGAATGGGCTTTGATGGCAGTGAGTTTGGGCTTCTTGAGCCTGTCAAACCGGCTCGACTGATAAAGAAAACGTTTGAATGCAGAAATGATTGCTCTGACCCCAAATCACGACAGAACTCTACCTAGAGAAGGAATGCAGCAGGAGAGCATGGGAAGGGAGGTACAGTGAACCCTCGCCACTTCGCGCTTCGACTTCCGCGGCTTCACTCTATCGCGGTTTTTGCGTCACAGCACCTGCTGCCTGCACCCGCTCCTTCAGAGGAAAAAGACGGCGACCCACCTGTAGAGTACATCCCTTAAGTCATTTCATAGGCTATTGATTACAGTATTCGTAAGAACTATGTATAATAA